TGCTTTGATTACTGACTTATGTTATAACAGCACCTTGAGATCACATCTGAAATCAGGGTCCCAATATGCCAGGCACTATGAATGTGCATTGTAACAGACAGATTGTCCCAAAGAGCTCAAGGTCTAAATAGGAACGGCAGACAAAAGGATCATTATCCCCATTTTATTGATAAAGAACTGAAATATGGATGGAGTAAGCGACTTGCCTCAGGTCATACAGCAGGTCAATGGCAGAGGAAGGAACCCAAATCCTGATTTTCTGAATTGTATGCCAGTGCCTTAACTGTAAGTCCATGCTAATTAGCATCACTTGTCAATATGCTCAGCTAAAAGACTACAGGTCAAGTGGGATGCGTCAGCTGAATGATATGTTCTTCCTAGAGCTTATCCTGGCATACCCTAGCAGGACGCTGCTGGGCAACCACACACCAATACTACTTGGGTCATGGATGCCCTGAGGATAAGCGAAAAAGTTCAGCCTGTCAACCTGGGAATGTGACACCTTTCTAGAGAATTAAATTCACTCAAATTAAAGAAATACACATGACTAAATCAATGGGTGGAGGGGGACTGCACAAAGAAACCTGCTGGATTGTTCTGTCTGCACATCAGATCCAATTAGAGAGAAAGAAAGAAAAGTCTAAATGGAGTCTGCTACTCCTGGGAAGCATCTTCCCTAAGGTACTTCCTAGCTTTGCTGAATTGTGGATGTATGAGGTGTGTTTACAGGAGAGAAAAGAAGTAACCAAGAATATAACAACATCCATGGAAAACACACCCTTCTTGTGTGTGTCCTACCATACAGCAACTGCTGCTTCCATGCTGCTGCCCACAGATTGCCAGGAGAGGGTGATTTCTAAGAGGATATTAGAAACTAAACAAAGGACATACCCACATAAAAATAACCCCAGTAAAAAAACAGGATGAAAACTCTAGCCCCTAACACCTGAGTGACTGATAGCATATATATTTACATGCCACAAAAAACTCTTGCTAAAAGTTCGCAAAGTTAAGCACTCACTAGTCATTTGGCCCTTCTGTGCATATACATTATGCTATAGTCTTTAATTAAATTATACTTGTTCTGTTCTTCCACAGCACTCCTTGTTCAATGCCCAAGATGGACAATGTCCTGGGGGTGAATCAGATCTGTGCAGTGAGTTGTCTGCAGGACCCTGCCTCATCTGTTGCAGCTGTTGGAAGCTGAACTCTCTATGTACTCCACAGATTCTCACAGAGAATGAACTGTCATAACTTCACTGAATTCAGCAGAGCTATGACAATTTACATCCATGGGGATCTGTCTCCACAGATTTTATGATTATGGGATCTGATATTCTATCACTGAGAGATGCAGAGGGTCTCCATCTCTTGGTACGTACTCATAGCTCTGCTCATGACACTCACCCCCAGGAGAGATGAGCATGCAACACCAGAACGGAACATCACATACCAAGGCCACAATGGAGGAAAGCATTGTTACTCAGGAAATACTTAAGCATAGACTTAAATGCTCTCCTGAATCTATGTCAAACAGTGTTTTTCCTCTTAAAAAGGTGAAGAAAATGAAGTAGAGCAGGCAAAGAGGATGCAATGCTCCATTTACATGGATGGGTCTAATCTTCCTGGCTGACCCCTTTGTGTTGCTGTTAGCAGGATCCCCAGGGATGTAAGAGTGCAGTGTTGTGGGACAATGGCAGGATCAGGCCCTGAGATGGGCACAAAGTCATACATTGCCCCTCATGGTGTAAATCTTCAGCTGGTTTGAATCAACTCCAGCATATGCTGATTTACACCAGCTGCACATCTAGCCCTGCATAAACAATTTAGACATAAATGAGAAAAATGCGAGACTGCTTTGTCCCTTGATTGCTTATAAATGACTGGGGACAGCAGGCTGAGAAGGTGTCTCTCAGACGAAAAAAATCAGTACTTTATAACTTTCTGATATGGCTTCATTTAACCCAGATGCCTTTGCACTGTGTTCTCATGCCCACAAGCAGGCTCAGCTCTGCAGACTGCAGCTGAGCCAACCTTATCCTTCCTGCAGCCCGTTCTGTAGTGACTGGACTTTGTCTTCAAATAAACAGGACCCTGGAGTTTAAAGGACAGACTTGAAACAAGCTGCTACTGTTTATGCAAATGCAGGCTATTAAACATGAAAACCTTCCCTACCTCTGAGATATTTCCCTTTGTTGCCCTTCCAGGGCTCCTGTGCCTGGTGACCCCTGCTGTGTCATGGCAGGTGATAAACACCTGGTTGGACACATGAGGGGCTAACAAGGACTTGAAGGAAAATAATACAATAGTGATCGTCAGGCTAATGAAGGAGAAGAAATGTCACCCGAACACAGGCAGGCTCTATGCAGGAAGAAAGGCTGTTTACTTACACTACAAAGCAGAATGCAGGAATGCAGACACCTTTATGATTTCTGTTACCCCCTGCATTCTAGGATCCTGATGGGGTATGGACAGTTAAAGAGAAAACCCAAGTAACCTACATTTACAGTGGAATAATTAGCACCACACAGCTAGCTCCTCTACCTGGGTTAATAGCAAGCGATTCAATCATGCTTAACTTGGTGTGTGGCTAAATTGATGCTTGCAGCTATCACTTAAACATGAGCTGTCATTGTCTTGTATTTATCTCTCTGTCCTTCTGGCTCTGGTTTTCAAAAGTCGTTTGTTTTCCTTTTTAAATGGGGTTGCTACGTGAACATTGCCGATGAATAAGTACTCCATTTATGATCACAACTGTGGGCAGAAAGAGATCTGCCCAGTTTATCTGTATCTAAGGATTTATCTCTCTATCTAACCCTCTCTCTTTCCAGAAATACCAAGGGAGGGGAGGTGAGAAGGAGATGAAAGCTGCAGCTTGGATGCCCCTGCCTGTGTTATTGTATCCATTTTCCAGTGCCAACCATGTGTGAAATGAAAATTGGACAGAGCTGGCTGCTCACAGACCTGGAATTTCATCCAGCCTAACTTTGTCCCTACAAGAGAGCAAGGGATGGAGGGAGAGAAGGAGAAGACGCAAGCCAAGAAGAGGAAGAGAAAGGGGAAAAGGGAGATAGGAGGAAAGCTCTGCTGAACAGCTACACAAATGGCCTAGGTAAACCCATTTCCATTTTAATAGCTATTTGCTGTAGCAGTGCAGGGAAGAGTGCAGCTTGCTGTGCTTTTTAATTCTGATTACCCAGAATGCTCTACTAATTTGTGGTAGGGTTGGCAATTTACAGTAACTATACAGTGGGAGACATTGATCATTGATGCTCAGCATTCTCTTACACACTGTCCACGAACAGGTCACCTTTGGTGTAACAGCACTGTGCCCCAGAGCTCCTGCGGTTCTTAGTACAATACTGAGACCAGCAGAATAAACAACCGGCTACGGCAATGGGAAATTCTACATGCCCTGTGCTCTGTGCAGCCTCCAGAGGGTAGAGTTAACACTCTCTGCCAGGGAGTTTGCTGGGCTGTATTAAGGGCAAGTGAACATATGTCAAAAGCACTCTAGTTGGAGTGCTGGACTGGAACCTAAAGACTTGTCACCTAAGCCTGGCTCTGCCACTACTGTGCTGAATGACCCCTGCCAAGTCACTTTCACCTTCCATAAAACCATGCTGCTGATACCAACCTCTGTCCAGTGCTTTCAGTTCTACTGGCCAAAGCTGGATGCAAGAGCTAGGTGTTACTTCTCAATACATCTCTTTGAGAACAGAACTTTTTGCCAAAACACTCTGATCTTCTCAACAGTTTCCATGTTTCAGAACTGTTTAAGCTTCTAATTTTAAGCACAGGGTTGTTGCTTATATGCTTGTTTGCTTCCTTTTGCCCTTCCTGCTTGGCCAGCAGAATGGCAAATTCTTCTTTCCAAATAGTTTCAATGTCAGGAAATGTCACATTTGAGAATAGAAAAAAAACCAAAATCTTCATAAGCAATCAAAAGTTGGTGAATTCTAATTGATGGTCCTCCTGTGAAGAAGGACTCAACTACCTGGAGCTGGGCCCAGTTAGTTTATGAAGTCCACTACCACAAGACATCACTGTGGCCAAGATCTCAGCAGGAATCAACACAGGCCTGGACTTTGGTATGAGTGATATCAGTATCTGCACTGACAAGAGTGGGGATGGCATTTTATCCATCAAGGATGGATGCCACCACCCTTCTTTTCTTACTCCAGGATCACTATCATAAATTATTTCACTGCTGGGTGAGCCGGAGTTGAACTGCCACCTCTTCTCCCAAGCGAAATGCTGTCTCTGGAGAGCAGAAGCACTAGGACTTTCCCAACTCTCTTTCTAGCACAGGAGTGGACAGGCTAGGTGGGTGTATGAACTGCTGGCCCCAGAGGACAAGGGCAGACACATTTCATGGCAGCCCAGGCTGCCCACCTTATTGTTTGTTCTACTTTTTGTTCCCTCTCTGTGACATGCTAATCTTGGATCTCAGCCAGTGACACAAGGGACCAAGCTGCAAGTTTCTGTGAACTTCCAGACACCCTCAAAGCTGATTTGGCAGGATGGCCTTGTGCTGACCCATTTTACAGATTGGGGAGGGGGAGGGGGGAGGCGCTCAGGGGGCAGTCTGTACCTACAATGAGATTCCTCAGCATGCAGAAGTGTTTGGACCCATAGTTGGCTGGACCCATCCCCATCGCTGACCTTTCTGTTGATGAGCTTTATGGTACACTAGCCCCCATCTCACTGTGTGTATCCATGTGAGATGCTAACTGTGCAGTAGCATCACATGGCAAAAACTGTGCCAAGACGCTACTGTGCAGTAGTATTAGGCTGTGCAGCAGCATCACTTAAAAGGCATTCCCCGGCACTACTACATAGTAACTCCAGTTACTACACATTTATTTAGTACTTCTTATACAAGTATTAAATAAATGTGCAGTAACCACTGTGCAGTAGCATCTCATGTAGACACACCCACTGACTGTCATCCATATTTGGGTCCACCCACCCCGTGGGATTCTCCCCATCCCCCTTACCAAGGCCTCCTGCGGACATCATACAGGTCGATCTTATTAGGTGCTCTCCATGGGGTGGCTGCAATGAAAACAGAAGCAAGAAGAGTTATGAAACCTTGATGTGTGAGGCAGGTATAGATAACAGATGGGGATGCCATCATGATGCTGTCCTGCCTACAGAAGCAAAACTGCTGTGGACATCAGAGGGAGCCTTGTTTGTAATGGAAGTGTTGGACCCATGGAAAATACAGGGGAAGGCAAGGGAGAAACAAGAATGAGGGAACAAAGTGTGTGAAGGGTGGGGAAAGGGGCAGAGTGAAAGGACGGGAGTGATGGACAGAAGGAGATTGGCTGGGGGAGCAAGAGATAAAGTTCCTGACAAAGGAAGGATGATGGTAGCTGGAGACATAGAGAGAGGGAGAGAATAATGAAAAACAGGGACAGGATGGGTAAGGAGTAGGGAGGGAAGCATGGCCCTTCACTAAGTTTCCAGTCTCCTATTGAAATGTTCCTAGGTGAGACCAACTAGTGACCTCAGAATAACACATGCAGTGTTTCAAGGAGTAAACTTGTCCACAGGCATGTTAAAGTCCTGTTTCCTAGCCATCCCCCTGAGTCTTACAGCATGCATGCTAGGTCACTAGGAGTGAAAGCAGCATAATGCTCCCACTTCCCCTTGCCTTTTCCCACAGATAACTTCCTCCCAATCCACCCTCACAGGAGAGGAGGGGATATAGAACAGAGGGGAGGGGTGCAGGGCCATGACTCTCAGCTTTGCTAGACATGGCCTGTCAGCTCTTCAGCTAGAACATGCAGTGAGGTATGAGGAAACTGTGCTGCTACCCCTTATAACATGGGCCCTATCCCTCCCAGCACAGGTACGAGGCTGCTGTGTCTCTCAGTTCCATGCTGAGCAGCACTTAGTGCTCCTCTTCCCTCCTTCCCCTGATGCCACGCTGCTCACATGACAGACCTGGGTAATAGCGGGTCACGCCCGTGGCACTGCCAAAGACCTGCCACAGCAGAGATGGATCTTTCTTCCGGTTTTCAATGAACACATCCTCCAGGGCCTGGGTCCAGTTCAGCTCATTGAGGATCACGGTAGCTGCAAGAGAGAAAGTGCACAGGTTGTCTCAATGCATATGGGGAAAAGAACATAGTAGCTCTAGGTCCTTAGTATGAACAGACTTGGACTCTGTGGGCTAGAGCAGCCACTGATGTAACCTGGTGTTGCTCTATTGACTGTGATGCTCAAGACAGCAAAAATACCCAGCAGTCACTGTTCTGCAGGAGTCCCTGCTGCAGGGTCTCTAAGAACAGCCATGCGGATGGCCTGAGGCCATATCCTGTCCCAGTACTCACTACACATCAGGACTTAAACAGCAGCTTGTGTGCCTCAGTCCTGGCTCTGCTGCCTCCTGCAATGCATGGACAAGGGGGAAGGGGGATTGCTTTCTGTCCAGCAGCAGGGCACAGGAAGAAGAGATAGGACAGAAAGGACTCTGGGGATGGTACACTCTCTCAATGGCAGATAGAAGAGGCTCAGGAACAGCTGCTTCCAGTTGCCATCATGATGTGTGGGGAACCCTGAAACTACCCTCAGATGGGCAAAAACCCTGGGCTGCCATGAGTCAGCATAGAATTGTACAGCTCTGTCTGCACCACCTCTCACCATACTGGCCATGGGAGGAGCCCAGCAAGCCAGCCCATCGCAAACCCATCATGATTCCTTGGTTCCATGGGAGAAGATGCAGCCATTCTCTGCAGCATCCTTGCTCTGCCCTCCCCATCTGACCCCCATGAGTATTCTCACTAATCAGCCTCTCCACACTGTAGCTGCTTGGCCCCCATGCCCTCCATCCCTTTCATTCCCTCTGCCAGGGCCTCAATTGTTGCTGCCCTGCAGGCTTGGGATTTGCCTCCTTCATCTTCTATGTCTCATCTAAGCATTTACTTACCACCATGTTATACCCGCCCTGGCTCTGGGCTGCTGTGACTTGTTCATAAAGGGAAACAACCCTTTGCTGGAAGCACATGTTTGTCAATGCAGAAGCTGACTTTAGTCAAGCTATAAAGGATGTTGGAGCTAACCAAAGGCAAAAGCCTCACCAGACTCCACAATTTCTTACTGCTGTACCCTGAATCCTGCAAACTCGGTCTCACCCAGTTCTGTGATTGTCATTGCCCTACAAGAGTTAATCACAGGTATAAACCTTATTCCCATCTGATTGCAGAATCAAGTCCACATGCCATGAGTTAGGGACAGGGGCTTCACCATATCCCACTATAACCAAGCCACTGAGGGCCTGATTCTTTGTTCAAGCTGTAGGCCAGGGGTCAGCAATCCCTGGCATGCGTGCTGAGCATGGCACGCCAGGCCATTTTGCTTGGCATGCCACCACCAGCCCTGGCTCTGGGTAGTTGCTACCAACCACAGAGCCCAGGCTGCTCCCAGCAGGTGGCTGGGAAACTGCAAGCCCTGCTGCAAGCAGCCCAGACTCTGTGGTTGGCAGCAGCTACCCAGAGCCAGGGCTGGGTGCAGCAGGCAGGCTGCAAACAGCTGCAGTGGGCTCCAGCATCAGCTCTGTACTGGCACATGCATGCATGCCCTGGAGCAGATGGTGGGGGAGGGGCCTGACGCAGTGCTACCCTGGTCTCTCCCCTGCTGCTGGCAGAGCTGATGGTGGGGCTCCAGAGCCGGGCACAGCTGTTTGCAGCCTGCCCACTACTTGCTGCAGCTGCCCAGAGCCCAGGCTGGCTACAAACAGCTGTGCTGGGCTCCAGAACCCAGTCATTAGCTCTGTGCCAGCAACAGGAGAGAGAGGCTGGGGTTGTGCTGCCTCAGGCCCCACTCCACTGCCTGCTCCAAGGTGCGTGTGCAGATGTTTGCAACCTCCTGGCTGCAGCCAGCCCCAGCTCTGCGTAGCTGCTGCCAACTACGAAGCCTAGGTTGCTTGCAGCAGGACTTGCAGCTGAGCCCACCTGATTCCCACCTGCTCCAAGCCCAGTAGTGGCCCAGCCCTCCTACTGGGATGAGGCTGGTGCTGCCCCATGCCAGAAGCACTGCACCTTTGTGGGCTTAGCTGTGTGAAATGCGTGGGTGGACTCTGGGCCAGGGCCTCAGCTGGCCATGCTGCAGCCCATGGGCTGACTCCCCAGGGAAGCACAGGGGCTCTGGCAGGCTCGGGGCATTGTTGAGTCAAACTTTGTCCAGTGGCCCAGCAGCCCGGCTCTGTGCACTCATGCATTTGGTTCTGTATGTCTGTGTTTGGTTCTGGATGTGTGTGTGCATGTGTCTGTTCTGGTTCTTTGTGTTTGTGCACATAGAAGCATGGAATAGTAGGACCAGAAGAGACCTGTAAGATCATCAAGTCCAGTCCCCTGCCATAGACAGGAGGTAATTGGGTTCAAACAAGTTCAACGAGGTACTTGTCCAACCTCCTCTTGAACACGTCTGGGGATGGTGACTGAACAACTTCTGCTGGGAGTGAGACAGATTTTTCAAGGGCAATGCAGGTAAGTGCCCAATCCACACAGGCTGACCAGCCTGTTATTTCTGCCTGTGAAAACCTGCCCTTTAGCCTCCTCTTCGGGTTTCTAATGGTTCAGAAAGCTGTCATGAACCAGAGTCCTGGGCTGCTACAGCAGAAGTGGACTAAAACAATACTTATTGTTTAACCAAATCTCTAGTGATCATCCAGCATTTAGTCTTTGGCTCATCATGTAAGCATCTCACTCACAGGGTATTGAGCACTTAAACACCTTTTAAGATTCTGGCCCTCTGACCCTCACTGAGATACTCCCAATTCCACAGATCATGTCACAAACAGAAGCTATTTCTATCAACAGGATGAAGTGATTGGTCAGGAGATGAAAGCCACAAACCAGACAGGTGGTTGCACCGCCTGGCTGTCCTCTACCTCCAAGGAAAGCTCTTTGTGACCAGTGCTGGGGAAAGCAGGTGGGTTCAGATCCAGGCTTGAGTGCATTTGCAGGCAGATCAAAACTGGGGAACTTGGTGGATGGTACAATACAATAAGTTGAGCAGATGGATCTGATGCACTGGGCTGCCCAATATACTGTTTCCTTGCTAGCATGTGATTTTCCTACAGCAGTGGTGCTCAACCTTTGTTGTGTGACAAATTGTACAATCAGAAATGGACTGAGGGCTGCATAGAAAAGCATTGCTGGAGCTTAGTGAGGGAAAAGAAGGTAAAAGTGGTGGCAGCATTTGCCCCCTTGGGCTCTGGAGCTGCATGAATGCAGTGGCTCCAGCCAGTGACCACACTGACATGCTGGTGGGCTCAGAGAACTTGCTGCACAAGGAGAGCTCTAGCAGGGGCCCCACCAACATGCCAGTGAACTCATGATGGTGACAGGTTATTTATATGGTTCTGTGTGTGCGTGTGTGTGAGGTTTTCTGTGTGCATGTATGGTTTTCTATGTGTGTGTGTATGTGCCTGGTTCTCTCTCTGCTCCCCTTTCTCCTCTTTTTTTTCTCTTTCTCTCTTCTTTCTCTTTTTTTCACACTCTCTCTCACTGCAACATGGTTAACAAAAAAAGTACACAATAACAAAGGCAACATTTATGATTATTAAATATACTAATATGCAATGTGTCCTGCCATGTACCACCCCCCCCACCCCGCCATTTTGTTTTTCTGGCATGCCGGCACTCTGGCACCTTCCAAGGTAGACACCGTGGTTTTTTCGGCACTCCGGCCAAAAAATGTTGCCTACCCCTGCTGCAGGCAGTCAGGCTTTTGGCTCTGGAGGTCTCTGGTTTGATCCCCAGCATGGCTGAGGTTGGAGGGGAAGTGCTATATATGCATCATAATTTGTCTTTCAAGCTTGCTGCATACTTCTGAGGAAGAGGTGAGCCTCTATAGAGGCTTTCTTTTCAATCAACAGATGTTGGTAGAGACTCTAGGCCTCTTCTTCCACAGCTCTATGTGATCACCCCAGGCATATGTTTGGCTTTCGATCTCACTGTCTTACAGTCAAAGAATCCCTTTCTCCCATGAAATGACAGCTTCACTCTGGAGCTGCAGGACACACATTCAAGCTTTTGGAATGTGCTCGCCGCCAGGTACCCACAGCAGATGGGGAAATAAATTGGGTCTGTCCCCCACAGGGGCTTCATTCAAATCCCTCCTCTGTCAGCCAGCCTCCGAGAGACAGGGAATGAGAGGAAGGAGCCCTGCAGGGCCTGCCCCGCTCTACATTTGTGCTGGCCCTCACACCCAGCGCAAAAGCAATTAAGATGCCAGCAAACGGAGGCTTTAAATTATTCAACTATTAAAGCAAATGATAAGCTCTGAGCATACTGACACTGTGATTAATCAAATGGATCGGGGCTGTCAGAGTGTGTGGGACAGGCATGTGGTTAGTTGCTGCGGCCAACCTGCTCTTTAAAAAATGCTGCTTCTTCAGGGAGCCTCTATGGATAGAGCTCAAGGGGAGGAAGTCCAGTGATTAACCACTATGGCACTCAAGGGCTGGAAGGTGGGAGCAGGGACCTGACTAAGCTGAGGAAGACAAAGAAGGTCTGACCCCCAAAAAAGCTGTCTAGCCTGTGAATCTTTTGCAGAATCTCTATCCATCTGAGGTGGGCAAAATATGACCCGTGGGCCAGATCCAGCCCACCAGCCTGTTCTATCCAGCCCGCAGGGCCTTTAAAAATTTTAGAAAATTAATTTATATCTGCCTGTGGCTGCCTGTCAAAGATGACAGGTGACCAGCAGCAGCAGGACCTAGCGGGAGCCTGTGGCCGAACAACAAGGCTAGCCCGGCTCCACCCAGCCCCCCACCCCCTTCCTGCCCTCAGCCCCCAACCAGAAGCCTCTGCGGCTTCTGGCCTCTGCCCCGGGGCTGTTCCCCATCCCTCCCTCTGAGTGGAAAATGAGGTAAGAGTGGCTGGAAGTGATGGCTGCAGGGAGCAGTGGGGGATGCAGGGAGCAGCGTAGTGGCAGGGGGGCTGTGGCGAGCAGCGCGGGAAGTGGCAGCTGCGGGGAACGGCGGGACCCACGTGGTGCACAGTAGGCGGCGGAGTCACAGCGGTCCCTGGCGGGCAGCAAGGCCACGACAGGCCCCTGCAGGCAGTACAGTGGGCCCCGACAGGTGGCAGAGCCCTGGCCAGGCTGCAGTGGGCCCTGGGAGGCAGCGGAGTGGCAGGGCTGCAGTGGGCCCCGGGAGGCAGCAGAGCCACGGCAGGCAACAGAGCGGTTGTGGGCCCTGGCAGTTGGTGGGGTTGCGATGGGTGGCAGAACAGTAGCAGGTGGCAGGCCCTGGCAGGTGGCAGAACTATAGCCGAGCCCCAGCGAGCGGCAGGAGCCAGTGGGTGGCAGAGCCACAGCAGGACCTGGTAGGTGGCAGAGCCCCAGTGGGCAGTGGGGCCACGGCAAGCCCCTGCAGGCAGCACAGCAGGCCCTGACAGACAGCAGAGCTGCAGCTGAGCCCGTGGGCAGTGGGGAGGTGGTGGGCCCCAGGAGGTGGCACAGCCACAGGAAGAGGGGGGCCCCAGTGGGCAGCATAGTTGCGGGGGGCTCCGGCAGATGGTGGAGCCACGGTGAGTGGCAGGGTTGCGGCAGGCGGTGGAGTCACAGCGGGGCTGCAGCAGGCGGTGGGCCCCAGTGGGGGCTGTGGGGAGCACTGCAGGAAGTGGGGGGCTGCAGGGAGCAGCGGGCAAGCCTGCAGGAGGGAATGCGGGGAAAGGTGGTGGCAGGTGGAAACATGGAGCCTGTGCAAGTGCCCTGGGACTGGCAGAGACCCAGGGGGGGGTTGCAGAAACACAGAGCCTGGGCATGGGGTCTGCCTGGCTGTATCATGTGAGGCTCACATGCAGTGTGTTACAGCTGCACGCTATGGAGCTGGCAGCCCAGCCCCAGCTCTCAGCACACACCCAGCCACCATACTCACACCTCACCGCACGCACACACACACTGAAACTCACACATTCTTCCCAACCACACCGCCACTTCCACCCCTTGCTGCCCACACAAAACGCACAGTAGGACTGTATTTTAAGCTATTATGCAGCCACCTCTAAATACACTTTTTGTAAACACATAAATCAGTAGAAAAATATTTTTAAATAAAATTAAAATAGGTTATAGTAGATGTTTTGTGTGTGGGTGGGTGTATACACACATATATATATATACACACACACCTTTTTCAAGGTTTCCAAATCACAGCACCCTTCCTCTGAAAAGCAGTACTTCCAGGGCAAGGGGAGGGACTTGCAATGGCAAAAGTCGGGGCTAGGAGGTCGGACTTCCGGTCCCAATATGGCAACCAGGGACAGGGCAACTGTCAAGGGGCGGGGCTACTCACGTGGCCCTAGACAGCTTCCCAAAACTTGGTAAGTGGCCCTCCGCCCAAAATAACTGCCCGCCCTGCCATAGATGGTGTGTTGTCCTCCCCACCCAAGCAGCTGGGGGCACTTCCAGAAGTGCAGAGGGGACAGGCATGCTGAATTCTCCTGCTTCACTTACCAGAAATAGCTCAGAGAGGAGGAGTGACTTGTCCTAGGCCACATGCTGAAGCAGCGGCAGAGCCCGGAAAAGAGCCTAGCAGGCCTGAGCCCTGGCCTGGGGCCCCCTACACATACCTGCCTTCATTTCCATTTCTGTCCAGTCCATTTCTCCTTCCCACTCTCCTTTTGCAGCTCCCTTATTCACCCTGTAGAAGGACCTTTCCCTTTTTGTCCCCACCCCCTCCCCACTTCCTTTATTTCATTTGGATGAAATCCCAAACCGCAGCCCCAGCTGAACAATTGCCTCAGGCCACTGAGCTCCCAATGGCCCTCCTAGCCCTGGCTCCTTGTGGCCCTCTATCAGCAGTAGCATTACATGTCAACCCACACATGCATTTCAGAGCTTGGGGATGTGCATCTCTATTCACAGACAAGCATGCTCTCCATATCCACAGAACTGGGAAGGGCTCTCACCCTCTCTGGGACTTGAAATATATATATATTGCATGCCTCCCAGCACCCTCCCAAAATCAATGAAGACACAAAGAAGCAACTCAACACCACCCAGTGCCTGAAGCAATGTCTCTAGTGTGGTGGAGTGGTGATGTTTGAGAGCAGACAGACAATGCTAACAGTGCCTGCCAGCCTGTCTGGGGGCTGAATGAGGCTTCCAACAAGAATGTAGAAGCTGCATATAATGAATGATGTTGTCTAAACGTGAGCATGGTGGCAGGTGGGAAATGGCAAAAAAGAAACAGGAAACTGATTTCTTCTCCTTTATACAAAAGATGTGTAACATTTCCTGTCCCACAATCTGTCCTGTGCTGGCTACAAGCTCAGCCACAGCAGCTTTGCAGAAGACAGTTGAAAAGCTGCAATGCACAGCAAACCGTTTGCACTGTGGTCACTTTGAATATCCTTCCTGAAAGATGAGCTGTAACTGACCTAACACTAAACCAAAGGCAAAAAAATTCCACAAACTGGCCACTTAGGGCATTTATACACTTACCTTCTTGTTCCACGATGCGCTTGAGATCCGGCGGGTTGGAGCAGACTCAATTAATAGAGTCTGCTCCGCACATGAGCTGATGTGCACTGAGCCCCATGCAGTTGTATAAGCAGCAAAATGCACATCAGTGCACAGAAAATGGCAGCAGTGCACTTTTGAACTAAAACACCTTTGAGGTGTTTTAGTTCAAAAGCACGCCGCCACCATTTTCTCAGTGCTGATGCGCATTTTGCCGCATATACAACCGTATGCGCTGCAGCGCCAGGTGCTTTTAAAAGCACCCGGTGCTGCAGCGCAAGCACGTGTACAAATGCTTTTAGCTTCCAACCCTGCTGTTTCCTACTGCTGCAAGGGCATCAAAACCAGTGTGGAAGAACAACTCTTCCTTGCTCTGGTAAGTGCATGGGCAGGAAGACCAGGCTCCCTCCTCTCCTCCTCTCTCCTCTGCAACCCACCCTGTGCCGGAGTGGAGGGCAGGGAACTGGGCAAGCCTGTCCTATGAGGGCTCAGGGGCAAAAGCAGCAGGTGCTTTTTCGGTTTCCACATTTTGGCCAGTTTTGAATGTGATTTCTCTGCCCCTGCTTTGCTGGCCCCTCCTGCAGTGCTGTTCCTACATCCCAGTAGGGCTATTGGGAAACTGTCTAATGAGGGCGTTATACATGCTTGGAAGCACTGAGCAAGCCAGCAAGGCCACTCCCCCAGGGCCCACTCCGCTCTGTTAAAGCACCAGCCCTCTGGCCATAGGACTATTTTTGGCTTCTCTGCATTCTCAATGACCTTATCTGAGGGAGTTTAATCTTCCTTCAGCAGCAACTGTGGCACTTGAGTATAAATGTCAAGGGCTATCTGGGAGATGGTGAACCCATAAAAACTTGCTCCAGGCAGACCCTCCTCAAAGGGGCTGCACCTGGAGCCCGTTCTAGAGGCATTGCAGTCCAGATCCAGTCCTTGCCCTGCCAGGGCTGCACTCAAGAGTCCAGCTCTTTTCTCAGAGGCTGTTCCCAAAATCCATGCTAAGATTGCACTGAAATCCAGGTTTGGCTTTTCTCATGAGTCCAATATTCTGTAACAGTCAACATTTTTTCCACTGCAAAATAGGACACCCGCTGGCTGCCTAGCACTCATGAGAGTTATAGATGACATCTGTAAGCTTTCTTCTGATTTACTTAAGTTTGGCCAGGTTATTTTACCTTGCTCATCATTATGGTCAAAAGTCCAGCAGTCTAAAGCATGCCAGGCTTTGTAGCTAATGTGGCTAGCTTCACCTTGGACCATTTTTGACTGTATTGAATGACCAGGCACCTATTTATGGCTGAGGCAACTGAGAGCAGCCACTCAGAGCAAGCTCAGAGCAAGGCTCAGACTCACGGTTCTGGCATTGCCTCAATTAGCCCTAGCCATATGGGCTGCTCTTCCCCCTGAAGCCCTCACTGAGAACTGTTGGTATTGCATGTCCTGTTGCTCACCCACAGCCCTGAGATGTGTCCCAGGTTCTCTTGAAGAGTTCTTCTGTGGATTACTTGTCTCTCCTGGGTTTGTATTTGCTTGCAGACAGCAGAGAGCAGAAGGGGGATGCCAAGGGGGCAGGGAGGCAGGGACAGGGAATTCTGGGGTTGTTGCTGGTGGACTCGTGCAAGTGATGTGCAGAGCAGAGGCACGTTCCAAACACTGCACAGAGCGATAGGCTGGAAGGCAAGTGGGGGGACAGTCAGTCTCTTATCTGTAAGTCCAGCAGGGCTGTCAGGGTTGGGCTATATCGGGGCAGGCAAAATCCAGCCCACAGGCCCACAGTAGATCAGGCCCACAGTAGGTAACATTTCCTTGCAGCTTGCGTGTCCTGTGGGCAGGGGAGTGCAGGCAGCGGATCACGGCTCTGCCCTGGCTCTGGACCATGATGTCACCACGGCAGGATCTTGGCCCTGGCCCCAGAGCAGCTCCCTGCCCAGCCACACAACCTGCCAGCACTGCTGGAGCTGGTCTCCATGGAAACTGTGGCCCCACACTGTTAGGGCCTTGCCACTGCTGGGGTCTCCGTGGAAACCGACCACAGTGACGTGGACAGGGGCTGCTGGGAAATGGAATCCAGCCACCAGCCGGATCTGCCATTTTGCCCACCTTGGGGCTAGACACTCACAAGGCAGTTGAGCTCAGGGTTTTACAGTATAGGCAGTTGAAGGGCAAATCAAGATCAGTCCTAACTATCAGTGTAGTCACAATGGAAGTGATTCAGCTCCAGCAGGGTGGGAGGGCACGGAGGTACTCTACTAGGTAGCAAGCTATCACCAAAGACCAGTACTGCCTGCATTAGCTGGGGCCTAGTTTAGAAAATAACATGGGCTGTGTTGTCTCAGATGCTACAGGCTCCAGGCTGACAGTAACCATGTCTGTGAGATGCTGGCCTGGCAGGCCGTGGGTGTAACAAAATAAACACAAAACAGTCCCCAGTGAGGAGCACAGGAGGAACAAAGGCGCTCCAGTGGCAGGCGCTCAGCTGTCACTTCCAAATGTCAGTGCTGTCAAGAGGATGGATTAGTGAGGTCGGATGGCCAGTGCTCCGCATGAGGCCTTAATGCAGCTGGCCGCTCTGGAGTAGCTGCTGGCAAGGTGCTGCTGGAGATGTTCTGAGGCATGGCGAGCAGGTGGAGGTTGGAGAGCCTGCAGGCTTTGCAGCAGTGACAGAAATCACTCAGGGGAAAGTTTGCTGTGGTAACCATTAGTCCCTCTGTTTTGCTGTGGTAGCCATTAGTCCCTCTCTCCTCTCTGGCCCCAATACAGGACAGTTGCCTGGAGAGTTTCCACCAGTGGTGTAGATTCTCCTAGGAGAGGGGGTGGCAACATTTTTGGCAGGCATGCCACAAGGTAAGCCCTGCTCCCTCTCTGTGTGCCACTCTGATCTCCTTTTATTGCCTGGTCTGTTGCTCTGCTTTCTGCTCCCTGTGCTCCCTATCTGCAGTTGTGGTCCCTGCTCTCTCTCCAATCTGCCATGGGCCACACACAGAGGTTGCCCATACCATGTGTGGCATGACCAACAGGTTTGCCACCCCTAGTCTAGGATAAAGTTGCTGCCAAAACAGACAAAACCAGTGGTCTGTCCAGGCTGGTGACCTGTCTCTATGGGTGGTCATGGCCAGATGCCTCACAGGTAGGTATGACACCCCTATACTTCAGTACCAGTCTCCAGTTTGACTAGTGGGCACAGTGTACTGGGCAGTTCTGCACCCTGAGTGATGGTGATGCATGTACAATAGCTTGGCTGAGAGAGGTGGCAGCTGCTATTTTTGCACAGCCCCCGCACCAGCACCCAGGGCTAGGGCCCTGGTCACTCCCCACCCCCTTAGTTACACAACTGCCTGTGACCTCTGTCTTGTATTTCCTAAAGCCTCCCAGGTTTCCCCATCCCTTATGCTGAGTGTTTCCTTTGCTGGACCACAACACCTCCTCTGACTTCAGCTGTAAGCAGTCCCAGACATTCCCATACAGGATAATAACAACTGAGTGCAGCTGAATGGTGGCAGCTGTGGTTAAAACTGCACATGGCAGGGTGGCCCCATGACATAGCTAGCTGTACACTGGGTGTCAGACCTCAGTTGTTTGCTCAGACATGCCTCTGACTGGAGCAAGTACTTTCTCCTCTCTGTGCCTCTGTTTCCCCTTTTACTTTTGTCTTATCTGTTTATTGCTGAAATCCTTCCTATAGCATCTCCCCTCTAAGCAACTTATCCTATCTGTCCTGCTCTCAAAGCCCCAAGGCACATCAGAACCAACTCGCTCTGCTGCAATCATTACTTGTCTGGGGAGCCATAAGCGGGGACAACAGGAAAAAAGGACTGTCCACACCGCCCCTGATATCTGCACTTATATTCAACACTTATAATGTAGTAGCACCAATTAGGACAAGGCACCATCATGCTAGGTACTATATAAAACATGCCAATTGCATCTCAACTGTAGGCAGAGTGAAAAGTAGTATCGAAACATGCAACACCCATAACCAAGGTTGTAAAAAAACATGGTCTGAGCACTTAAGGACTCAACTCTGATGTGCCCTTAAGATAAAATACTGGTACGGAAGTTTCTAGCTATTTTTAATGCAGAAAGGAAAAAGAAAAAAGTCAGCAAGAGAGCCTACATTTTGCAGGTCTCTTAAGCTTTCTGGGTTGGCAAAATATCTGCAGACAGATTAGGCAAATTCTAGAATTCACAGTATCTGGAGACCCCCTTGGCATGCAACCATCCTTCACCCAGACCACCAGAAACCAGGTGCCCTGGATTGAGATTCTGGTCAGTGTTAAAATTTTTCCACCAATTTCACACCTGGTTACTTCTAGTTAAACTACTTTTCATTACTAAATTTCTGCCAATATTGTCCCAATTAGGCAGTGGTCATAATTGTTCAGGGTCATTGGCTAAATCCAGTTCCTGGGGCATGCCCTAGTAACACAGATATTCCAGTGACTCATGGGCAAACCTTTGCTTTTGCAGAATTCACTGTGCCCTCCTCCCCCAACCATGCCAACAGGGAGTCAGCATATCAAGATCTCTGACAATAATGCAGTGCACAGAACCTTGAGGATGAGTGTTTGAGACAGTTCTACTTCTACTGGAACAAATGGCTCCAGGGATCGCAAATATTTAACCCACCATGCCACCCACACCACTGTAGCCCAGCTGCCAACCTCTTCTGCTCCTCTGAGTACCTACTCTCTCATTTTCTTTTTAAATCAAAATTTTCTCTAGAAAAGTGGCTGTTTTTAGATGCTCTCCCACTCCTATCGCTGCTAATCTCTCCTATGCTTTTCCCCACCCAAGCCACTTTTGGTAGGAGGCATTAAGCTGAGGGCAGAAGGGAAGTTAACACAGTGAAGCAAGAAATTTATGGAACCTACAGAAACCATAACTCTGCATTGCTCCAAGATCCAGTGTTAGATCAAACATCATAAATTACTGTATGAAGACACGTCTGTCTGAGAAAAGAAAAGATCCCTTTGTGCTCATAGTGCTGCTATGCCATGGGGGTTATTAACCCATCCACAAAAAGGGGTAATGATATTTGCCTAACCTCCATAGGGGGCGGGAGAAGGCTTCAAGAAACAGGAGCAATGAGGTGCACAGTATTACTGAAGCTGCTTAGGAGAAGTGAGGGGAATCAAGGTCCAAGGAACAAACAACTTGCCTGGCTGGTACAGAGCTGAGGTCTGTCTAGGGCAGTGCCTGGTCTCCAGCAGCAGCTAGCAGCAGGCACTATAGCAGAATGTATAAGAACACTGTGTAGTAACTGCTACGATCTGCTCCTACATTACGCCTCATCAGGTGCACCTACACAAGAAGTTTATTGAGGAGCTAACTAATTAGCTCCACCATAAAGTCTCAGCGTCTACATGCGCATCCCTATTAGGCTGCACGAGATTAACTCTGCCATAGGTTAGTACTTGTAAACACAAGTACTATCCTAGGGTGGCATTCTTTAGTGCACAACAACGTATGTGTAGATGCTGATGGGGCTAGCTGGGGCATGAGGGTGTTGCAGTACAGGGGCTAACTGATGGCTAGCCCTGCACTGTAGCACCCTTGTGTCCCAGCCAGCCCCTCCGCAGCATGTTGAGCTGAGCTGGAACAGCCCCCCCAGCCTGGCAGACTGACACCCAGAACCCCCTTCCAGATGGGACTGCTCCAACCCAGCTGTGGTCAATGTGCTGTGGTCTCAGGTGCATGTGTAAATGTGGCATCCAGGAGGAATATATTATATGTGCCAGAGTTCACTGCATCACATTAATTACGTATTTAGATGTGCCCATCCTGTTTTAAACCCTAAAGTCAAAGGGCTCCATGTCCCTGCCTGTATTTGCTATCACTTGTGATAATAACTCTGCAGAGGAATATCCAAACCCTTTTGCAACCTGAGATTTTGGCCTCAGTGATTTGCAGGGGCAAGGAGTTCCCCAGTTTAACTGTGTGTTCTGTGAAAACCATTTCCGTTTCTTACTGCTAAATTTCCCTGAGGAATTCTGAGCCTTTTGACTCCTAGCACTGTCCTGTTGCTGTCTGGTGGGATTCAGCAGGGAAAAGAGCAGCCGTCCCTGTCTTTCATTAATGCATTTGTAAAGTGGCTCTTGTGTGTCTGCAGTAATTTAGGGAACTAAGCAGTTGAGAATGTAGCTGAGCTGCCATGCAGATATGTGCAATTGAAACCTTAGCTAAACTCTTTATGTGCTTAGCAAGAAAATGCCATGCAAAATGTACCATGCATGCATAAGCCCTGATTTTCAATGGAGCAACTCAAAACTAATTTTCACTGGAATATTTTAATGTACTTCCGACTGAGGGCTATTTCCTACCAAATTTCAGCTTCCTGGCCTTGTTGGTGCTATTAAAAAAGAGAGACTCCAAGGGTATTTTAGCTTTAGAACAGTGAATATATGGATTTTTCCACCTTCCCACAAACTGGTTTTGTTTAAAATTGAAATGAATACAAAATCACCTTTAGGCAGAGCCCACTCTTAGAAATTTTCAACTTGAAAGGAGAGAAAAAATTCTCATAAAGGTTAAAGTCACCCTAAGCAGAAGCTTAGAATAGAAACCGTCCTGCAGCCTTAACTTCCAATGGTCATCCGGATTCCCTCTAGCATGTCAGCACTTTCTTTCAGGTAACATTGTGACTGCTAAAACAGGCTTCAACATGACACTG